ATCCACAGCTGAAAAGTGCTATATAGGAGCCAGATATTTTATTTTATTATATGATGCTTTTCATCAGAAGATGTAAACGTGCTTAAATAGTGTAAAAAACAAAGTCAAGTGCACAGAAGTTAGGAAATGCCAGAATTAAGGTTGCCTGTGCAACATTAATTTGGCCCTTTTGTGCATATGCATTATGATACAGTCTTTAATTACATGGTCACGCTTTTTTCCCACAGGACCCTGCCTCATTCAGTGCACTGGATAGACGGTGCCCACTCAAGGAGCCAGCTATTCAATATGTTCTCTCCTTACTATTCCAGTGTGGCCCCATGCCATATGTCAGAGGTGGGCAAACTACAGCCTGTGGACCACATGCGGCCCACAGGACCGTCCTGCCTGGCTCTTGAGCTCCCAGGCGGGGAGGCTCGCCCCCAGCCCCTCCCCTGCTGTCCCCCCCCTTCCCTGCAGCCTCAGCTCACTGCGCCACTTGCCCAATGCTCTGGGCGGCGCAATTGGCTTCAGCCAGTGAGGGGGTGGGGAGCGGGGGGGTTGGATAAGGGGCAGGGAGATCTGGGGGGCAGTCGGGGGCAGTTGGATGGGACGGAGGTTCTGGGATGGCAGTCAGGGGACGGGGAACGGGGGGGTTGGATAGGTGTGGGAGTCCCGGGGGGCCTGTCAGGGAGCGAGGGTGTGGATAGGGGTCGGGGCAGACAGGGAGCAGGGGGATTGGATAGGGGGGTCCTGCGAGGAGGTGGAGGGGACAAGGAGCGGGGGGGGTGTTGGATGGGTCGGGAGTTCTGAGGGGGGCAGTCAGGGGCGAGAGGTGGCAGGGGCCAGCTGTTTGGAGAGGCACAGCCTTCCCTGCCCGACCCTCCATATACTTTGGCAACCCCGATGTGGCCCTCGGGCCAAAAAGTTTGCCGACCCCTGCCATGTGTACTACATATTATTCAACCCCTACTCTGAAGACAGAATTATTGATTTCATTATGGTTTTTCTGTGGCATGCATTGTGTGCTTTACAAAGATAAATTAAGTTATTTGCACAATACTGCTGAGAGGTGAGAGGGGGTATTATCTCCAGTTTACAGATGGGAACTGAGAGAGAGGTTAAAATGAAAAGTATGCATTAATTTTGAGTGCCCAATTTAAGATGTCTAGGACCTGATTTTTTCAGAGTACTTAATGTCCAGAGCACTTCACCCATTGACTTCAGTTTGCAGCTGTGAGTACTCAGCACTTTTGCAGATCAGACCCTAGTCTCAAGTTGGGCACCCAGAAAATGAGGAACACACAATTAGTGACCACCTGTGAAAAGTTTAGATGAAGTGACTTGCCCAGCATCACTCAGGAACTTGGTGGCAGAGGCAGGGACAGAATCCAGTTCTCCAGAGCACCGTTCAACTGCCTTAACCATGAAACCGCCCTTTCTCTTCCTGCCAGTCCCCTGCCTCATTTATCACACTTGCAACTTCTGCAGCAAATGAGGCAGGGGTCCTACAGATAATAGCCACCTTCACTGCACAACCCTGATTCATCCATAGAGCATGTCTATCTTGTGCACTGAATGAGGGTGACCTGCCTGGTGCACGGGCGCTGACTGAGGCAGAGTCCTTTGGCAAAAATAGAATGTGATCATATAATTAAATACTGTATTATAAATGCACAAGGGGTTGACTAAAGGTTGCACAAACAACCTTATGTCTGCCATTTCCTAACTTTTGAATGCTTAAGTTTGCAACCTTCATGTTCTTTTAATGTTAGGGTGGTCGTGGTTTTTCTTTTGTGTAACATCCTAGGTGTGTTTTTTTTTTTTTTTTAAAGCAAACTGAAAAAAAAACAAATTTCATCATTGGTCATCAGTAAGGCTGTGATTCAGACATGGATTCTGTGACTTCCAAAGACCTCCGTGACTTCAGGGCTGGTTGGGAGCTGCAGGGTCCCCTGCTGCCAGCAGTGGCAGGGGCGACCACCAATGCTCCCCACCCGCATGGGCAGCACAGAGAGCCCCACAGCTCTCCACCTCCATAGGGGGCAGGAGGAATCCCTAGAGCTCCCGAGTTCGGATCCCCAGCTGAGGGGGACGCTGCAGCTCCCAGCCCACCCACATCTGCCCAGCCTTCATAAATGATCTGGAGGATGGTGTGGATTGCACCCTCAGCAAGTTTGCAGATGACACTAAACTAGGAGGAGAGGTAGATATGCTGGAGAGTAGGGATAGGATACAGAGGGACCTAGACAAATTGGAGGATTGGGCCAAAAGAAGTCTGATGAGGTTCAACAAGGACAAGTGCAGAGTCCTGCACTTAGGACGGAAGAATCCCATGCACCGCTACAGACTAGGGACCGAATGGCTCGGCAGCAGTTCTGCAGAAAAGGACCTAGGGGTTACAGTGGACGAGAAGCTGGATATGAGTCAACAGTGTGCCCTTGTTGCCAAGAAGGCCAATGGCATTTTGGGCTGTATAAGTAGGGGCATTGCCAGCAGATCGAGGGATGTGATCGTTCCCCTCTATTCAACACTGGTGAGGCCTCATCTGGAGTACTGTGTCCAGTTTCGTTTGGAAAGCGTCCAGCGTTAGGCAACAAAAATGATTTGGGGACTGGAACACATGAGTTATGAGGAGAGGCTGAGGGAACTGGGGATGTTTAGTCTACAGAAGAGAAGAATGAGGGGGGATTTGATAGCTGCTTTCAACTACCTGAAAGGGGGTTCCAAAGAGGATGGATCTAGACTGTTCTCAGTGGTAGCAGATGACAGAACAAGGAGTAAAGGTCTCAAGTTGCAGTGGGGGAGATTTCGGTTGGTTAGTAGGAAAAACTTTTTCACTAGGAGGGTGGTGAAACACAGGAATGCGTTACCTAGGGAGGTGGTGGAATCTCCTTCCTTAGAAGTTTTTAAGGTCAGGCTTGACAAAGCCCTAGCTGGGATGATTTAATTGGGGATCAGTCCTGCTTTGAACAGAGGGTTGGACTAGATTACCTCCTGAGGTCCCTTCCAACCCTGATATTCTATAAAAGTCAGGGACAGGTAAAAGTCAGGGACAGGTCACGGCTTCCGTGAATTTTTTCATTATTGCCCGTGACCTGTCCCTGACTTTTACTAAAAATATCCATGACAAAATCTTAGCCTTAGTCATCAGCAGTGCTAATACCTTGAAGATCCATCACACATGTCTCTGTCACTTGAGCTAAGAGAGTAATTGATTGTTGTCACCTTCTATGTGGACTAGCACTAGAGCGGAATGAGTCACACACTTTGCCGGGGTTTCAGAGCTATTTCTTCACAGATGGGGACTGGTGAGACTCAGGAATCTTGGATTCCATTCCAGGCTGTGGAGAGGAGTATTCTCTAATGGTCACAGACCCGTGTGCCTGTTCCCCACAAGCTTGACCCCTGCCACTCTCTAGTCCTATCTTTTCTTCACCCCAGTTCCATTCTCTAAGCCTAGCCAGTCCCAGTCTCCTTGATCAGCCAGTCCTGGTTTCCTGCTCTGGGCTCCCCTGAGTTAATCTCTTTGTTTGAGTTAATCTCTGTCCCTCACCAATCTTCTTGCCCAGCCAGTCTCAGTGGCCCCTTAGCTCCCAGTCCCAGTTTCTCTCTTCTTCCCCTCTGTCCCCCAGGCTCAAATGCCAGTCTCTCCCTGGCCCGCAGTCTCAAGTCTCTCCCTCACCAGACTACTTGTTCTAATCTCCTCTCCCCCACCCCCAGTCTGGCTGTTATCCCCTGTGCATTTGAATCCGGCACCTTCCTCTTCTGTGTAGCCTAGGCACCAGCAGGAGGGCCACTGAGCACAATCTCCCTGCTCTCAGTTCTGGTGCCTGGCCTGACCACAGTAGCTGGGGAGTGCAGCATGCTCAGTGTGGACAGTATCTATGGATATTTTGGGTTGTTTAGTCTGGAAAAGAGAAGACTGAGAGGAGACATAACACTTTTCAAGCACATAAAAGGTTGTTGCAAGAAGGAGGGTGAATAATTGTTGTTCTTAACATCTGAGGATAGGACAAGAAGCAATGGGCTTAATTTGCAGCAAGGGAGGTTTAGGTTGGACGCTAGGAAAAACTTCCTAACTGTCAGGGTGGTTAAGCACTGGAATAAATTGCCTACGGAGGTTGTGGAATCTCCATCATTGGAGATTTTTAAAAGCAGGTTAGACAAACGCTTGTCAGGAATGGTCTAGATAATATTTAGTTCTGCCATGAGTGCAGGGGACTGGACTAGATGACCTCTCAAGGTCCCTTCCAATCCTATGATTCTGTGATTTTTAGCTCCAGAACTCTGATAAGTCTCTGCTGAGCATGTGAACACTGAGATGGTTCAAAGGGTTGTAATTTGGCTAAATTTGGGCATTTTTTCATGAGAATAGCAAAAGGACATCCCCTGTCAAATTTAAAGTTCACCTGCTCCAAAGCATGGAGGTACTCGAGCTTTCAGTAAAATGGCTGCATGATTTTTTCCTAATCTTGTCTTTGAAAATGGCTGAACCATTTTGCCTGAAACTTTCCAACAAATTCAGCCTGAGCCAGACACTGAGCATGGAAAATTTCAGCCCAAACAACTAAAGTTTGGCAAAGTTACAAACAACTGGTTCAGGGTTCTGTAACTGGAAGTGTTGGGTAACCTGTATATCGGAGTGGTGCTATCAGTTTCACCTATAATAAAAATAGTGATTTTAATTTTTCCCCTATAGTTTCCTCTCCCAAAGCCTTCCTTCAGGATATTGGATTTAACTGCAAACTGTAGCTTGTATCTAGTATTAGGCAATAGTGCAGAAAACATTAATAATAATGGGTAATAGAGATGTACGGGCATTGGTGCATAGTACACTTGGAAACAGATGGTGTGGAGGTCTCTTGTTCTGCAGCAGTTGAGGAAAAGGTGCAAGTTTGTGGCAAAGCTGTATAAATATGTGGCCATGAATTTTGGAGGTGAGGAAAGGTGATTTCAAATCTGTAGTTACTGTGTGTTGAAAGTTTTATTTACTGTTTTGATGTTTTTCTCTATTTTAGAATCGTCATTCCAGTTACCAGCACCACAGAATATGACAATTTACTCATATAATTATCAGAATTTATTGAGATGGGCTCCTGTTAAAGTGGACAATGGCTCAGTGTTGTATACGGTCCAGTATAGTACGTAAGTAAATAGTTGCATTCTACTAAATTGGTTTCATTCTAATAGAAAAGTATAAGCTTGTATGTAGAAAATGAGGTTTTTATTAAAAAGGTTTTCAGGTACATTTGAAAACAAATTTCTTGGACTGAATTATTTCCACTAAACAAGGAAAAGAATGAAATCCTTCCTTTTTCCCAATTTTTTTTCACTCTTGTTCCAAACCAGCTTTGTTAATATTTTTCCTGAAGCCCATGGTTATTTATACTCGGGATGTTCTTATTTTAAATATCAATATAGATAATAAGACAGAAAATATCATATTTCCTCTATATAAATCCATGGTACACCCACATCTTGAATACTGCAGGCAGATGTGGTCGCCCCATCTCAAAAAAGGAATATTGGAATTGGAAAAGGTACAGAAAGGGGCAACAAAAATGACTGGGGTATGGAACAGCTTCCATATGAGGAGGGGTTGATAAGATGACTTTTCAGCTTGGAAAAGAGACGACTAAGGGGGGATATGATAGAGATCTATAAAATCATGACTGGTGTGGAGAAAGTAAATAAGGAAATGTTACTTACCTTTGCTTACCCAAGAAGTAGGGGTCACCAAGTGACCTTAATAGGCAGCAGGTTTAAAACAAACAAAAGGAAGTATTTCTTCATACAACGTAGTCAACCTGTGGAACTTTGTCAGAGGGTGTTGTGAAGGCCAAGACTACAATAGAGTTCAAAAAAGAACTGAGAGAGAGGTTAAAATGAAAAGTATGCATTAATTTTGAGTGCCCAATTTGAGATAGACAAGTCCATCAATGTCTATTAGCCAGGATGGGCTGGGAATGTGTGACGGGATGGATCGCTCAGTGATTACCTCTTCTGTTCATTCCCATCTAGCCCAGTATCCTGTCTTCTGACAGTGGCCAATGCCAGGTGCCCCAGAGGGAATGAACAGAACAGTAACCATCAAGTGATCCATCCTCCCTTGCCCATTCACAGTTTCTGGCAAACAGGCAAGGGACACCATCCCTGTTCATCCTAGCTAATAGCCATTGATGGAGCTATCCTCCTTGAACTTATCTAGTTCTTTTTTAAACCCTGTTATAGTCTTGGCCTTCACAACATCCTCTGGCAAGGAGTTTCAGAGGTTGACTGCATTTTATAAAAAAAAAACCCCAAACTTCCTTTTCTTTGTTTTAAATCTTCTGCCTATTAATTTCATTTGGTAACCCCTAGTTCTTGTGTTATGAGAAGGAGAAAATAACACTTCCTTATTTCCTTTCTCCATATCAGTCATGATTTTATAGACCTCTATCATATCCCCCCTTAGTCGTCTCTTTTCCAAGTTGAAAAGTCAGTCTTATTAATCCCTCCTCATACGGAAGCCGTTCCGTACCCCTAATAATTTTTGTTGCCCTTTTCCAATTCCAATATATTTTTTTTGAGATGGGGCGACCCCATCTGCACAGAGTATTCAAAATGTGGGCGTACCATGGATTTATATAGAGGCAATATGATATTTTATAGATTCATAGATACCGAGGTCAGAAGGGACCATTATGATCACCTAGTCTGACCTCCTGCACAACGCAGGCCACAGAATCTCACCCACTCACTCCTGCGAAAAACCTCACCTATGTCTGAGCTACTGAAGTCCTCAAATCATGGTTTAAAGATTTCAAAGAGCAGAGAATCCTCCAGCAAGTGACCCGTGCCCCATGCTACAGAGGAAGGCAAAAAACCTCCAGGGCCTCTTCCAATCTGCCCTGGAGGAAAATTCCTTCCCGACCCCAAATATGGCGATCAGCTGAACCCTGAGCATATGGGCAAGATTCACCAGCCAGATACTACAGAAAATTCTTTCCTGGGTAACTCAGATCCCACCCCATCTAACATCCCATCACAGGCCATTAGGCCTATTTACCATGAATATTTAGAGATCAGTTAATTTTCTGTCATCTTATCTATTCTTTTCTTAATGTTTCCCAACATTCTGTTCACTTTTTTTGACTGCTGCCGCACATTGAGTGGATGTTTTCAGAGAACTATCCAGAATGACACCAAGGTCTCTTTCTTGAGTGGTAACAGCTACTTGAGACTCCATTTTATATGTATATTTTGGCAAACGTAATCCCATGTGCATTACTTTGCATTTATCAACATTGAATTTCTTCTGCCATTTTGTTGGCTAGTCACCCAGTTTTGAGAGATCCTTTTGTAGCTCTTTGCAGTCTGCTTGGGACTTAACTACCTTGAGTAGTCAGTTTTGTATCGTCGGCAAATTTTGCCACCTCGCTGTTTACCCCTTTTTTCAGATCATGTATGAATATGTTGAATAGAACTGGGCCGACTATAGATCCCTGGGGGACACAACTATTTACCTCTCTCCATTCTGAAAACTGACCATTTATCCCTACCCTTTATTTCCTATCTTTTAACCAGTTAGTGATCCCATGACAGCTTACTTTGCTTAAGAGCCTTTGGTGAGGGAACTTGTCAAAGGCTTTCTGAAAATCTGAGTACACTATATCCACTGGATTCCCCTTGTGCACATGCTTGTTGACCACCTCAGAGAATTCTAGTAGATTGGTGAGGCATAATTTCCCTTTACAAAAACCATGTTGATTCTTCCCCAGCAAATTATGTTCATCTATGTGTCTGACAATTTTGTTCTTTACTATAGTTTCAACCAGTTTGCCCGGTACTGAAGTCAGGCTTACTGGCCTGTAATAGTTGAAGGCATTCAGCCTCTGGGATTACAGAATGTCCCCTGCCTACCTCCTAAAGTTTTTAATTGGCTACATTTTGAAAAGAGTTTCAGGTGCTTTGAGAGAAGGCGTTGCATGGTTATAGAGTAAAACTGCTTGAAAGTTGTACTTTTATATTAAATGTCGATTCTTTAGAAACCGGCTAGGTGTAAAGAATATTTGAGAGAGCGTTTTCTATCAGTTGTACTAGATGCAGCAGCGAGGCGATTCCACTGACTTATTCTTTCTTAATTTTGTATCGCAGAATGGCCTGTGATTGTTGGGAAGAAATTAACTGCACAAATATTACAAAGACTGAATGCAATTTCACACATCCAAATATCAAAAGCTTTTGGACAATTACTTTACGTGTTAGGGCTGAGCTAGGACAAGTGAAATCTGTCTGGGTGGAAACAAATACATTTGTAGCAGACCAAAACAGTAAGTCTCTTATGATCTCAGCCTCTTACCTCCTTATAGAAAATATTTCTGATAATTGTTATTATTATTGTGTCTTAGTTTTCTTCACTTTATATAGTATGTGAGAGAATTCAAAAGAGAGGTGATGGGACCTGCTGTGTTAGGAATCTGTTTTTAAAATCTGTTTCAGTTTATATTTGCTATGCCAGTGGTACGGATACAGAGACCTAGGAGAAACTGGTATCTGTCAACTTTTCTGTAATGATATTAAAACAAGTTTCTCATCTACACTGAACTTTTGTCAGCACCAGTTGATGGGGGAATCTGTTGATGACAACTAATTTTTCTAGATTGAACAGAGCCCAGGAGAGCAATAAGTTAACTTTTTTTATTTTCCTGTAGATTTTGGGCTTTTCTGCACACCTAATTTTGTGATAACTCTTAAACACATTTTGGCACCAAACGCATATAATTTCAAAAGTACCTACATTATTCCCTACTTGTATAGTATAAAGGGGTCAGGGATATACAGTACACTCCCGTTTATCCAAAACCCTATAATCTGAACTTCCACGTTATCTGAATCCCTTCCTTGTCCCCCAGTGTGAGATACCTGACCTCTGCAGCCTCTTCGTGCTGGGGGATAAGGCAGGGATTCAGATAATAGAGCAGAGATCCCCAGCCAGGGCTGTGAGGAGGAGGACAAGCCCCTGGCCATGGCTCCTGCCCTTTTAATTATCCAAACTCAAGATTATCCAAATAAAATCAGTGTCCCCTGTGCTATTCAGATAATGGGGAGTATACCATACTGACAAAATCAAGGTTAATTTGGTGGCTGCGTGAACACATTTAACTTTACCATTTAGAAGTATCCACGAGTTCCTTTTTTATGGTTGGTTTCTGAGGTAGGAGGAGATTCAGTGGTGGGTTTCCTTTATTCAAAAGTTAAGTCTGAAATAATGTTTAGCGCAGAAGAGAGTCCTTCATTATTCCCTCTTATTTCCCAACCTGGGGAATGGATCCTGTGGGTGGGGGCATACGACTAGCTCAAAGGAAGTGCAAAGCGAAGGAGAGGCTCGGGGGCTGGGGAGGAACTGCATGATTCCACACCTACCCCTTCCCCACTTGTGTATCCAGTACTCTGGGTACTTTCAAGTGGCCCCTTGAAAGCCAGCAGCCTTCTCTGCCTTCTCATGTGGCACCTCATGTAGCCAATCCTAAAATCAAGTCCTGTAAACTCAGCTGTTAGCCTTCTAGCTTGTGTGTATTTTTTCCTATGGCATTCAAATCAGCCATGTAGATCACACCCCAGATCATGTTTCACACTCTGAGCGGTGAGAAAGAGAATATAGTGGGGAGAGTTACTTGCCAAGTGAAATGTTCAGAAGAGAGGACACATTAAAGGAGAGATAGCAGTTGCAACTGTAGTAGGGCATGATGCAAGAAGAAACTAAAAAGTTCATGATCCAATGTATTAACAAGAGGGCCAACTTTCCACAAAATAATTTTGAGCAGAGCAGAACCATTTGAATGAAGCAGGGTGAAGTTTTATTATTTTTGTTTTTCTGTTACCATAGCATGGATGACATTGCAACAAAATGAATCTAAACGTGTCCTGCCATTATAAAAATAATAAGCAGAGGTTACAGGAAAGGATCAGTTTTCTCTTGTGTTATGCTAGGCTGTCTGACTTTTTTTTTTTCTGGTCTTTTAACATTTGTTTTTTATATATTTGTAAAATAGCTGTGTATAGAGCTCAGAACTCCATTGTATTAGGCACTGTGATACAAATTAGTTAAGAATCCAGGGCAACTCACCGTTTTTTCTTTATGCCATGCTATAACAATAATTAGGGATAAACTAATTGCTTGGTAGTCTTGTATTTATACAGGAAGGTATGTTTTAGCAGTTCACTTCCAAACTTTGGTGACCAACAAAATGTTCAAAAACCAGTCGGAGAACACTTCAGTCTCTCTGGTCACTCGATTTCTGATCTCAAAGTGACTATCCTTCAACAAAAAAACTTCGAAAACAGACTCCAACGAGAGACTGCTGAATTGGAATTAATTTGTAAATTGGATACAATTAACATAGGTTACTTTTTATAATGACTCAACCATTCCCAGTCTCTATTCAAGCCTATTTCCCCTTGTTTATTCCGTCCCCCCCTCCCCCCCCACTGTTCCTCAGACGTTCTTGTTAGACCCTGGATTTGTGCTAGAAATGGCCCACCTTGATTATCATACACGTTGTAAGGAGAGTGATCACTTTAGATAAGCTATTACCAGCAGGAGAGTGGGGGCGGGGGGGAGAGAGAACCTTTTGTAGGGATAAACACCCATTTTTTCATGGTTTGTGTGTATAAAAACATCTTCTGTATTTTCCACAGTATGCATCCGATGAAGTGAGCTGTAGCTCACGAAAGCTTATGCTCAGATAAATTGGTTAGTCTCTAAGGTGCCACAAGTACTCCGTTTCTTTTTGCGAATACAGACTAACACGGCTGTTACTCTGAAAATGTTCAATGGGAAAATTAAAATATAACATACGAACGTAAGTGTGACGGGTTCGGTCACAGGGACCCCGTTGGGACTGTCACCTGATGTGCTGAGACTACCTCTGAGCCCGTTTTCCCTGGCAGCTTGGGACTTCAGTACCCTGCCTGGTTGAGCCAGACATGCTAGCTTGCTGCAAACACAGACTCGGGTCTGAACCATGTCCCCCACAAGCTGCAGACTTAACTGAAAACAGCTTAAGAAGTGCTACTGTCTCTAGCACCCAGACATCCAGTTCCCAATGGATCCAAACCCCAAATAAATCCATTTTACTCTGTATGAAGCCTATACAGGGTAAACTTATAAATTGTTCACCCTCTATAATGCTGATAGAGAGAGATGCACTGCTGTTTGCTCCCCCAGGTATTAATTACTTGCTCTGGGTTAATAAGTAAAAAGTGATTTTATTAAATACAAAAAGCAGGATTTAAGTGGTTCCAAGTAATAACAGAACAAAGTAAGTTACCAAGCAAAATAAAACAAAAACATGCAAGTCTAAGCCTAATACTGTAAGAAACTGATTACAGATGAAACCTCACCCTCAGAGATGTTCCAATCAGCTTATTTCACAGACTAGACTCCTTCCTAGTTTGGGCCCAATCCTTTCCCCTGGTACAGTCCTTGTTCTAGCTCAGGTGGTAGCTAGCAGATTTCTCATGACTGCAGTCCCTTGTTCCATTTCACCCCCTTATATATGTTTAGCACAATGTGGGAATCTTTTGTCTCTTTGGGTCCCCACCGCTCCTTCTAAATGGAAAAACACCAGGTTTAAGATGGATTCCAGTACCAGGTGACATGGTCACATCTCCTGAGACCCCAAGCCTTCATTCTTCTGGGCCTCACTCACAGGAAGGCTTGCAAGTAAACAGCCATCTACAGTCATTTGTTCTAGTTGATGGGAGCCATCAAGATTATGAACCACCATTAATGGCCCGCACTTTGCATAATTACAATAGGACCTCAGAGTTATATTTTATATTTCTAGTTTCACATACAGGAATGATACATTTATACAAATAGGATGACCACACTCAGTAGATTATAAACTTTGTAATGATACCTTACAAGAGACCTTTTTCATGAAGCATATTCCAGTTACATTATATTCACACTCATTGTGACGTTGCACTCCATATGATTTTATGAAAATATCCTGATAAGACCCACTTCTTTTCCTCTTCTTTAAGCCTTGGCTGCACTGGGAGTTTGCCCCAATCCCAGCCACTGAAGACTATTCACAGACGTAGCTGGAGCAGTGCAAACTCCTAATGTGGGCAGGCATAGCTGCTATTCACACTGGTGGGGCCTAGCCTTGCTTGAAATAAAGGTAACCTGATGTAGTGCAAATAGCAGCTTTGCCTGCCTATACCAGAGGTGATACCAGTGCATCCACACCTGTGGCTAGAACCAGGATAAATTCCTAGCTGTAGACAAGGCCTTGGTTCTCCTTTTACCATGTTGCATGCATCTAACCTCTCCTCCTTGCTTGCATCTGTCTTTTCATCCTTCTTCCTCTAGAATCTTTTTGCTTTCTTTTTCTCTTCTTAGCAACCGCAGCATATAACAGTAGCGCCATGTTGAAATACAGGAGCACTTCACAGATGCAGCTGGCTGTGAAGTGAAACTGAGTGGGGTTATAACATCCTCGTCAGTTTCCTTTTGCGGCCTTCTCCACCTGTAGGTAGACTTTGCCCATGAGACACTACTCTGGAGTTGATTGCCTGGTCAAGGGGTGTGTATGAGAGAGACTACCGATCAGAAATAATAATAATAATTATTAATAAGCACATATATGGTGTGTTTTTTTTATCTGTAGTTGTTAGTGCTTTGCAAATGCTGGTAAACTTTCTCAGTTTTATCCCCAGTGGATAGAGTGAAATGATTTTCCCAAAATCACACAATGAGTCAGTAGTATAGCCAGTAATAGAACCCGCATCCTCTGACTCTAAGTCCAGTGTCCTATCTGCTGGAACAGATGAGGCTCCTTTGCTGGGAGGCGATATGGGAAGCCCAGAATGCATAGCTGATCTGGCATTTTGAGGGAAAAATTTAAATCAGATTAATGTCAACAAGGCTATGCAAAAGTCAGAGTGAACTGCAGATAGATCCTACTACAGCTTGATAATTTTTCAAGATAAAGTAGACAAAATGATTCTTCGTATCATTTAAATTCACATAAAAAGCCAATATTTAGTGCTGTGAAGCTATTTGAAATAATTAAGGAGTAAATGTATTTGAACGATTTATATCTCTTCCAAATAACAGGCTGTTGTATTCAGTAATTTCTTATTATGCATCAGATCAAAACTAGTAGGAAACTTGCTCATTTTTAAAAATTCCAAATGTTCATCTATTTTTTTTTGTTCATTTTCAGCTACTATAGGGCCTCCTGTTATAGTAAATGTGGATTCAACACCTGATTCGCTTTTCCTTAGCTTCGTGCCCCCTGTAAAAGAAGATACTTTACAATATCTTGTGCGCTATTGGGAGAAATCAACAAATAAACAACATGTAAGAATTCTTTTTATCTCTCTCCTTTTTTTGGCAAAATGGTAGAAAGAAATGGAGGGCAAAGTTGTAATATTGACCTTTTTTCCAGCAGAAAAGAAGCTTGTTAGTTAACTGAAGGGAAGTTAATCTAATCTGGGCTCAGATTTATTAACTGTTATTAATTGAATGGATGTAAAGTTTTCCAAAGCCCTTAAGTGACTTAGGAGTTCCATTTTCAAAAGTGAATTGGGCTCCTAAACACCTTCATTCTGAAAATCAGACTCCTAAGTCACTTAGGCACTTTTGAAAATTTTACCTAGGACCTCCGAGATTTTTCTCTCTCTCAGGCCTTGTTTGGACTGGGAATTTCAGCCACTTGTGTCCAGTTACTGGAGTAGCTGTGCTGGTTCAAATCAAAGCCTTAATGTAGACAGGTGCAAAACTGCTACAAGACCTGATTTGTGCAGTATCAAGAAAGGTGAGCTGTGCCAGTTTAAATCTTGGCCTATGGATAGGGCCCTACCAAATTCACAGTCCATTTTCGTCAATTCCATGGTCATAGGATTTTAAAAATTGTAAATTTCATGATTTCAGTTATTTAAATCTGAAATTTCCTGGTGTTGTAATTATAAGGGTCCTGACCCAAAAAGGAGTTTGGGGGGTGAGGGGGATCGCAAGGTTATTGGGGGGGGGGGGGACGTGGTGCGGGTTGTGGTACTGCTACACTTACTTCTGCGCTACTGTTGGCAGCGGTGTTGTCTTCAGAGCTGGGCAGCTGGAGAGCGGCGGCTGCTGGCCTTGAGCCTAGGTCTGAGGCAGCGCTGCCACCAGCAGCAGCGCAGAAGTGAGGATGGCCTGGTCGGGTACTGCCACCTTTATTTCTGTCATGCTGCCTGCAGAGCAGGGCCCTCAAATCAGCAGCTGCTGCCCTCCAGCCACCCAGCTCTGAAGGCATCAGTGCAGAAGTAAGGGTGGCAATACTGCGACCCTCCCTCCCCGAAGATAACCTTGTGGACCCCCTGCAACTCCTTTTTTGGTTAGGACCACCAATTTGAGAAACACTGGTCTCTTCTGTTAAATCTGTATAGTATAAGGTAAAAGCACACAAAAGACCAGATTTCACGGGGAGAGGCCAGATTTCATTGTCCGTGATGTGTTTTTCATGGCCGTGAATTTGGTAGGGCTCTACCTATAGAGGTTTTGCAAACATATGGTGTACACCAAGTCACTAGTGTAGTTATACTTTTGTCAGGGCCACCAATGGCTATGAGCAGGGCAAATTCCCAGTCTGGACATGCTGGTTTTGGTTGAATAAACTGCCCACAAATGAGGAATTTTTGTTTTAAAGACATAGACTGACTGATTTTTTTCATAAATGAAAAAATCCGCCCCGGCCAGAGCTGTCCCATCTGTAGGGCAGACCAGGGCAACCACACTGGTGCAGCTCACCTTTCTTGATACTGCACAGGTCAGGTCTTGTAGCAGATTTGCACCTGTCTACATTAAGACTTTGATTTGAACCAGCACAGCTACTCCAGTAACTGGACACAAGTGGCTGAAATTCCCAGTGCAAACAAGACCTGAGGAGCTTTGGGGGGCGCTCAGGGCGGCCTGGGGGGCCTGGTGCCGGCAGCAGAGGTCGGGCCCGTGCCCCACACTCACTGGCCAAGGTGTTTTTTGTTTTTTTGTTTCCTGCAGCCCCCTGGGCTCTGTCTCTGGGGCCGGGTCACTCGGTGCTGCCGCAGCCTGTTCCATGGGCTCTCGGTGTCACCCAGCCACTAATGCCTGGGCAGGCTGCCCCTGCCCTTCCGCCTCAGACGGACCCTTCCCTTTTCTGGTGGGACCCTTCACTAACACAGGGGGTCACCTAGCACAGGTGAATGCCAGCCAGTAGTCTCCATCGCCTAGCATTGGTGTCCCCCCAGTGCCCCACACGTCCCCCTTCCACTGCCCTTTCTCCCCTCTCCCAGCACTGTGTGGGGTCCTCCAGTGCCACCTCTTATCACCACCCCCCCACCTCAAGGTCCTCCTTGCCTTTCAGCTCTCCACCTTGGGGTTCCCCTCCCTGCAGGACCTGGGGTCCCACAACTCTGCTCTCTCCACCACCCACCAGGACTGGGGTCCTCCATCCATCTGCTTTTCTGCCTCCTCCCCAGCCCCCAGAGAAAACAAATCTTAGAGCTCCTCCTGAGTACTGGAGGGTCCTGGGGGTCCCCCAGCACCAGGGCACATATAGGCCTGCCAAGAGCCACCCAGTTCCCGAGACATGGGCTCTCAGTGTTACGAATGTGTAATTACATTTAAAAAAATATCTGAGGGTAGCGAGACCATATGCACCTGGGAAGTGAGTTTGCTGCAAGAAAGTCCAGGAAGATGGATTTCAGAATCTAAGCAGTGTAACGCTGATCGTGATCGGTGAGATTTTTTTTTAAAATTATATGAACTTCATTATAATTATATTGTAGTTCTTTTCTATAACAACATTATAATTATACAGCTGGGCGCTATCAATATTTAACCTGCGGCCAGCAGCTGCCCTTGAAGTTCACTGTAACCAGATTAGATCTGTATAAAAAATGTTAAGGTGGGCCCCATACAGGCTGATTTGCCCCAGTCCCTGCACCCCCCTAGGGACGGCCCTGCCTCTGGCTTTCCAACTACTTACCCTTTTCATTTCAGTTAATGAGTTGAGCTTTTTTTAAAAAAAGACAGACCATGTCAAGGTTAATGCACCTCCCTCCTTTCCCAGAAAAACTGAGTTTTCTGACACACTTTTAACATACTCCCCTTCCTCTAGCTGACATACAGATGAGATAGAACTCAGACCTCATGTCATAACTTTTAGCTTTGACATTAAGAATTAATCAAGTTCTTAACTGAGCTACCCAGCATTGAAAAAGGCAAACTGCTAGCTTTGTTAGACTGTGGACATAAGAATGCATTTAGTGTTGCCCTACAGTTCTCCCTGCTAGCTCCGTTCTTGTGAGTAGGCAAAGAAATAAATTGGTGAACAGCATGATCTTCACTGGACAGAACTTTGTCTAATTCAGTTCTTGCTGTCTGGGGCCAGTGCTCTAGTGTCAAGAGTGGAGTGTTGATGCAAAAAGAACACCATATTTGCATCTGTCTTTAATCCCTAGATAATGGTTCTGGGCATCCTAGCCCAGAACCTGGTATTTTAAAGCAGCAGATTTGTTTTTGCCGATATTTTTGTTTTGTTGTTTTTCCAACTCCTACTCCTTCCAAATCACCATTTACTGCAGGTATTGGCACAAAAATACTGCAGACTTTCAGAGGTTCGAAGGGTGTTTTGTGTACAGTGAAATTTTACATTAACCTACTTGCATTCACAAAATAAATAATCATGTCCGTGGTAGATGGGGAGCGTAAATAGCCAGATTTTGTTTCATTGAAGCAGAATGCCTCTATTTAATAACATTTGCATTTAAAGTGCACTGCAATAAGAAGCTCATACAGTTACACTACTTCTCTTGCATACTGTATAAATGTTAGTTATGAAAAATAATATTGTGAAGCTTTTGAATGGAAACTTGTGATTTCAAGTTGATTGTATTGAAGAAAACTCTTAATAGAAATATGGTTTTTGTAATAATATTATTTGCAATAACATATAAATTCACTTTTTTTTTTGTAAACAGGAAACAGAATGGACCAAGAATACCCGAATCGGACTTCTGAATCTAAAGCAACTGACAGAGTATTGTTTTCAAATACGAGCAAAAGTCCATATATTACATGACAACATTGGACCATTAAGCAAAACTGATTGTCACAGAACTGCAGCTAATGGTATAAATCTTACTTCATGAACACCTGTTTTATCTCTTGTGTAATGAAACTGGTATAAAACTTGAGTCTTAAATAGCTAGCTGTTTTAATTTACTTTATCACACAACCAGTACCTGTCTTCAGTTTTAAAAGGGCACTGTTTTTTAGTAGTTCAAGAACATATTCTCATTCATTTTCACATAATGAGTTTTTCAGCAGCTCAATAAATAAGAGAGAGTAAACCAGAGCATCTGCCTCCCTTTCCCCACCCCTCCTAGATAGGATTTTTTGTTTTTGTTTTTTTTTTTTGATGGGGCTGTTAAGGTACAAATACAAATATATATTGGTATTCTAAGGGGAAATTACTTACTGGTAGTTCCTTTTCTCACCTTGGGTCAAATTTGTTTGAAGGAAAACTCACCATGTCCCTCTCTGCCCTATCCCATTCACCTGATCCCGGGCTCTGCCATTGTATGGAGAACGGGCAGGAGATAGAGAGGAGGGGTGAGACAAGGTTGGGGAGGGCAAGGACAATTCAGAAACCAGTAAAGTTTGGTCTCATCTATATGTTGGCCACAGTGTTAGAATCTGGTTTGTCTGTATCTGAGCTTAAGCCTGGTTTTAAACTCTGTTGTAAAGCCTGTGTAGATTTAGGCCTTCATGTTATGTCTCAACTCTAACCTGGAGGAATCACCTCTAGGCATGAGAAGACAGAATAGGCTCCATGCTCACATACTCCTTTTTCAATCCTCTCCCTACACAAATGTGTCAAACAAGGTGCTGCTTTAGGGCATGATCCTGCAAGATGCTGAGCACTCTGGCTCTAACCTAGTAAAGCTCTTAAAATACAGTAACTCCTCACTTAACATCGTCCCTGTTTCTCGTTACATTGCTGACCAATTAGAGAACATGCTCGTTTAAAGCTGCCCAATGCTCCCTTATAATGTTGTTTGGCAGCTGCCTGCTTTGTCCACTGCTTGCAGAAAGAGCAGCCCGTTGGAGCTAACTGGTGGGGGCTTGGAACCAGGGTGGACCGGCAGCCCCCCTAGCAGCTCCCCTAAGTTCCCTGTGCGGCAGCTGTCCAGCAGGCTATCAACTGCCTGGTAGTTCAGCTGTCCCTCCCCCCACTGCCATGTGCTGCTCCTGCCCTCTGCCTTGGAGCGGCTCCTGGGAGCCTCCTGCTTACTGTGCAGAGGTCGGGGGGGGAGGGGGTGCTAATGTTAGGGTGTCCCCCTCCCCGCTGCTCCTGTGCCCCATCTCCATAGAGCAGGGGGACACACGACAGGGCTCAGGACAGAGGGAGCGTGCTGGCGGAAGTTGCTGTCTCAACTTGCTGATCTACTTAAAAAGGCAGTATACTTGGAGTGGGTCAGCATACTTAAAGGGGCAATGTACGTGTCTCTCACACGCGTGCGCGCACACACACACAGGTGCCTCTCTCTCACGCATGCACGCACGGTGTGTGTCTCTGTCTCTCTCTCTGCCATGCTGTCTCCCCTCCCTCCATTTGTGCTGCCTTGTAGAGTGTGAGGTTACATTAACAACAGGGCTGAGCTGAGGGCTAGTTCATCATTTAGCAGGAAGGCATTCCCTGGGAAATATCCCACCCTCGGACTCCTCCACCTCAACCAAGCTTCACAGTCATCATTGCTGTGTACAGTATTCAATTGTTTAAAACTTATACTCTGTGTATGTATGTATGTATGTGTATATATATAATCTTTTGCCTGGTGAAAAAAATTTCTCTGGAACCTAACCCCCGCATTTACATTAATTCTTATGGGGAAATTGGGTTCGGTTAACTTCGTTTTGCTTAAAGTACATTTTTCAGGAACATAAACTACAACGTTAAGCGAAGAGTTACAGTATGTTCTTAACTTTAAGCATGCGCGCACGCCACTGGGACTACTCCTATGTTAGTTAAGTACATGTTTCAGTGCGTTAGCAGGGCAGAGTGGATGAATTTAAATAAGAGTTAAGCCTCTGGGTCTGCCATTCTAGTACCTCACACTGAATCATTGTTTAATAGAGCAATGCAAATTATCCAGGGCAAATACACTAATATTAATATTTCTTCTGCTTAGTGGGATTTGGATCTCAGCCTGTGAATTTCTACATTGTTTGGCTTAAGATAGTAGTGTTCGTTTTAAACAAAATTTTGAGAAGAATGAGACATAGCATGATGTACTTGCTATTGATGTTTCTCCTCCTCTTCCCAGCAATTTTTGATAAAAGTTCGTGTTCCCCATAGCTCTTTTACTCCCATGTTAAAGCTGGAGAGTATCATTTTATTTTGTTTTTTGATAGTGTCTGTCACTGTCATGTCTAAGGTTTGATTCTAGAAAAAGAGTTCAATGTGCCTGAAATACACGTTTAGCACCTCTGGCGGAAGCTACTCATGACCTGTAAGTTATGCAGTGATACTGCCGTGCACAAGAGGTGAAGCTTCTGTGTTGTTGTGTTAAACAAGGGAAGTCTATAAAAGCCTCCTCCTTATTATGATGCAATTTAAATTAGTATCCAAAACAATTGATTAGTTTTCACATTAAAAAGTTATCAAGACTTGTTGATAAACTTGACACCTGTGGAGTAAAAAGAAAAAGCTTTTGATATATACATTTTTACTTCTCTCTTTTCAGATGCAACCAGAGCTGGATTTGTTGTAATAATATTTGTTGCAGCCACAGTTACTGTGGTGTTTTCAGCAATTGTCTGTTTCCTTTTTATTCAGAAATTTCATCAAGTCATTAAATATTGGTTTCAACCTCCTTTTAAAATGCCTCCACATATTGAAGAGGTAGGTGTTTTTTGTCTTTGTTTCGCAGAAGAGGTAGTGGTGTGACTGGAATGAACTGGTTAGGTTAGTTGAGCTCACTTAGAAGCTACAAAATATTAAACTCTTGCCTGTCTGAGTTTACATTCAAACTCCATAAATGCAGTATAGCTTGTTGTTTTTCATATTTAGTGTGGCTGTAATATAACTCCAGTTTATGCCATTTTACTTAGCTGGAATCCTTTGCTCACTCTGTACTTAAGTACAGATATTGTGGTGTTCCTTTGTGTGAAACTCTCATAATATGAAAAAAGGAGATTCAATTTTTTGTTTTAAAATAAAAATATTGATTAATCAGCAGACCAATTCTTCACTAGAGAACTGAGACCAAATTGCAGGTGATACAGTATTAGTAGTTTGGGGGTTAAGTAGACTTTATCGCTCACGTACTGAATTACAGGGGAGCATGTGCCATTTTAAGAGTGGACACCAAATATCAGAATCTCTGAAGGCCTTGGGAGATGAAAGGTATATGTGGGGGTGGGGGGATTGTTTTGGGTGGGGGTTTGTTTTGTATGGTTTATTACAGTTCACAGATGAATGACGAAAGATGCATGTGACACTTTTTTCTGGCAGCTCATGCATCTCTGTACTGAAAAACATTTCAGCTCTGTTCAACTTCCTCTTTTTACGTTTTAAACAGGAAATGTTTTTCCATTGATCATGAATTAAAATTTATGGCTTGAGACAACTTCCACATCATGTGTTAAACATTTCTACTATCAAAAACAATCCTTTGAGCTAGGGTGCTTTTGTGATTAAGGAACTGGATCAGGACTTCAGGATCTGGGTTCAGTTTCCAAGTCTGCTATAGATTTCCTGCATGACCTACGGCAAGACACTTAATCTGTCTCTGCCTCAGTTCCTATCTGTAAAATGAAGATGATGATGATTTCCCACCTCAAAAGGGTTTTGTGAGGAGAAGTTTAATAACGTTATGCAATTAGATATTATTATTATTATGATGGGGGGGCACAGAAGTACCTAAATATGTTCACTTTTTAAAAATACACATTATATTATGGAAAGGATGGTAAGAGTTATTCTGTTTTCTAATGCTTACTCTCCATCAGAATTTATAACCCTCAGTGCAGAGGTCGTTAGGATTCCAACTGGATAGTAAGCAGCAGAAATCAGGTGAATGCTTCAGCAACAGTGAACCTGTTTTCAGGCAAATAACACTGATAATGATACATACATATTACAAGCAGAATTGTTTCTAAATGTTTTCCAAGAGGGGTTATCTGGCCTAGTGCTTTTCTTCCTCTTACATCTATGGATATGTGAAAAGATTGTCATTAGAACAAGTTACCATAGTTAATATATGGTAGTGGCTTCTATTTCATATGTATTTTTTTTTTTTTAGCTTTTCAGAAAGTCACACAGTTCCTCCTTTTGCCCAAATTCAAGGCTTTCATTTGAGTTACAGGAAGCAGATTTGATATTTTCCCACTCCTTTGGTGTAGCAAAAAAAATCACAAACTGATTATTTCTTGAATTCATTAAAATGTACTTATTTGCTCTTCCTGTCTTTAAAATCTACTTGTAAAAATTATTTGAATCAGATTAATGCCAGAGGTAAGAAAGTCATGATAAAATAACTTTAAATTGTTCCTTGTCCCTACCCTGTCACCTGTATCTATAATTAAAACTATATTAATACAGAAGCCAACAAAAATGTTATGCCATGTTGTAGTTTGTAACGTTAGGAAAGTTTTTGGCTTCTAGGCTTTCTAACTAGCCCTGGAATAACTCCTCAACAATAAAAATTTTGTGCTCAGCTGTCTGAGGTGCTCTCACGTCCTCTGTTCCCACTGAAATGTATTCAAAGACACAAGATCAGATTTCTAAGATCTCAGAATCTTCCTCAGATCTAAGAATTTTTCCTTGTTTCCCTGGATTAAAAATCCACACTTTTTAGTACAAGGCTGTTTATAATTTGAAATGCAAAATATAAATTATAGGAATAGTATTTTTTTAGGGTTTGCAGATAACAGTATGGGAAGGTGGAGATCTAATCCAACTTGCACTGTACTGAAAACTTTGTGTTCTCATTTGCCCTGTCAGTATTTCAGACCTCTTTCTCAAGAGCCTCTCAGTTGTTTAGGACCATCTGTGTTGTGCTGTTGTGCTTGTTTTAGGCCTTTTGTTTGGTGGGGTGATAGTGAGATTTGTTTATTTTGTCCTGGGGCAATCTACTTAAAGCTGACATTCATCATTAAGTTGGGTATGCTATTATTCTAGTTGCATACATGCATTCATAGTATCTGGTTGCATTTTTATAAATCCAAAACTCCACGAGTTGTCCGTATAAAGTGATACCGAATAGGTGTCAAAAGGTGTGTAAGAACAAAAAAATCATATCAGCCTGGTCCTTGTCCAGTATTAATCAATGTAAAGCAGAGGTGTAGCCATGGGTGGGCCTGAGTGGACCACGGCGAGCCCACTTAGCATCCAGGCCCATCCAAATCGGGGCCGGATCCCTCCAAATCCACAGCCTGGGACTCCTGACCCCAGCTCGGTGTCCGACCACGTCCCTCTCCTGCTGGCTTTTAAAACACTGCTGCCCTGGTCTGCGGCCCCAGTGCTAGTCCCTCGGGGGTGGGGAGGGGAGGGCAAAGGGAGGTTGCCTCGTGGGGGCAGGTCAGGCAGGGCTAGTGCTGGGACTGGAGACTGGGGCAGCAGCGCGCATTGCCAGCAGGTAGGGGATGCAGTCTGACAGACACCGACCCAGGGTTGGGAGGGATGGATGGAGCTCGAGCCCTGGTGGGGCCCTCCCTCCTGCCCATGGGCGTGCCCCGCAGCCTGTGTGCCCCGAGTGGTAAAGGGTGATGGGGGGAGGTGGGCCCCCCATCCCTCCTGCTCCCCCTCTGCAGGGCCCCCATCCCTCCTGTCATCCCCCCGTGCCCTGCCCAGTCATTGCCTGCCCACCTGCCTGAAAGCCAGGACCCACCCAGGTTTCCTGTCTTAACAGCACTGATGTAAAGTGCATGAAACTTTTGTTTGTTCCACATGGGCTATCGAGAGGTGAACTTCTGGTGGCAGGCACGCAGCCTGATGGCAATTCTGTAGTGCTTTATACTGTGTATAAAATATATTAGCTATATTACAGCCCAGTTTGAACACCCACCTGTGAAATTAAATAACTCTAGCTAATAGAATACTGTGATTAATCAACATATAATGTACTCTATTGACTTGCATTATATTGATGAATATTGATGAAGAATGTATCATTTGATATTTTGACTAATTCAGCAACTAAAAGTTTCCAACTTAGAGCTCTAACACTTAAATTTTGTTACATTCAAGTGTGTTGGTGATGTCAAAGCTCTGTTTGTAGATGACAGGCTGTCAAATGGTTAATTTTTGGTGTGTTTTGCTTTTAAAAGATAGTTGGAGTAGGTCATGTTTGAAAGTTGTGTTTCATGACAAGTGTCTCTAAGATGGGAAATGAAACAGGCTTTTAAAACATTTAATGGTGTGTATTGATTAAACTGGTTGTCATAATGGAAACCTTTAAAACAATTAGAACACTGTTTTTTGCTGAAAATAACAGTCAAGTCTGAGCTAATCAAGTTAGGGGAAAAAACATGTTAGTTTGTTATACTGTTGGTTTAAATACTTTGACCTTTGATTTAGTGTTTTTTTTTTTTAAAAAAGCTCTTTGCATTTATCAACATTGCACTAGTACTGTGTTTCTATAAAATGAGTCACAGGTGTGCATCTATGCTCACAAGTACAGAGTCTGATTACTGCATACATGTGATTATTATGGAGTACTTGTTGCACAGAGATCATGAAACAATACCTCCTCCCACCCCACTGTTCTCTGTGTGTATATAAAGTCTGCTGCAGTTTCCACGGTATGCATCCGATGAAGTGAGCTGTAGCTCACGAAAGCTCATGCTCAAATAAATTGGTTAGTCTCTAAGGTGCCACAAGTACTCCTTTTCTTTTTGCGAATGCAGACTAACACGGCTGTTACTCTGAAACATGTGATTATTATGTTTCCTAGCAGCCTCAAGTTCTGTGTGACGACACATTTTTGAAAGGACTATTTATAATAGCTTTGGTTTTTGTAATGTGACTTCTAAGTAGAGCCAGCTTTTAAGATCACCCTCTCCAAATTATGACACTAAAAATTGCTCCATATATATACTGTAAACACAGTACAGTTGTGAAATGTGTGTTAACTATGTAGGTAGAGTGAAAGTAAGTTAGGATGCTTCTATATTAAAGTGATATTTTAACATTGAGAAATTCCTATTCTGGGTAGATAAAGTAGTAAGAAACTACAGAATGCTCCTGATGCATACATGGCAAAAGTTACGAAGTAGTTGGAAGCTGGAAAATCCCTATAGAATTTACTTTCATTTTGCCTTGCCAAGTTTTCTCAGCTGATATCAACAGATTATAAGAAATAGAATGGAAGTTCCCCAGTTCAGTATGAAATGAAAGATGCTGCAGGTTTTTTCTGCTGTCTTCCAGTAAGTAACAGAATCCCAGTAAATTTAACAGAAAAGTACATTGGGACATTTGTGGTCATTTAAAAATGATTAATCATATATCTGATTAACTTCTCAGAGTTATTCCTGTCATCAAAAGTAGGAATGATTCTAATATGAAAATACTGTAAGGCCAAATCCTGCAGTCCCAATTCAGGCAACATTCTTAGTGACTTCAGTGACTGAGGACTGCAGGATTTGCTCTTTAGTTTGTGTGGATTTGTTTGCATAAAAAAAATCTACATTACAAGAAACATTTATTAATATTTCAAAGTCAAGCACTCAGAATTTGGGAACTACCCAAAATAAGGTTGCTGGTGCAACTTTAATTCAACTCCCATGTACATATGCATTTTGATGATAGTCTTTAATTACATGATCAAACATGACTTTTTCCACAGAATCTGTCTCATTCAGTGAGTGGATTATTAAATATTTCTTTTTATCCCGCCTCGTTCTGTGTGTGGCCCCAGGCTTCATTTACTGGACACCCTCAAACTCTGCTTTCCCCATAACATCTTTAGTGCTTCACTTCAATGAATTTGTCTTCACCATACTCCTGAGATGAGTGGGTAATATCCCCATTTTACGGGTGGAGAGCTGAGGCACAGAGAGAGTAAGGCCAAAATTACCAAGTGTCCACTAATTTTGAATGCCTAACTGAAGACTTATGAGGGCCTGATTTTTCAGAGAACTTGGCATTTTTATAGCATGTTGTGTTGAGAACACAGCTCCTATTGAATTCAATTGCTGGTATGAATGCTTTGCACTTCGGCATATCTGGTGCCAAGTGGCTCTTTCAGGCATCCAGAAATGGAACACAGAGGCTTGGTGTTAATTACCAACTTGTGCTGGTATAACTGTTACACCTGGGGGAGTTCTGTGCCACTGCGCATGCATAGAATTCATGTCCCCCGCAGATTTCTTTGCTTCCCTGCAGAAAAATGACTTTCTGACAGGGAAGCAAAGGATCACTCTTGTGGCTTTCAAGTGACCCTCCCCAGTAGTATGTTTTGGGTGCCCAGGGCAGCCGACAGAGAGGTAAAACACTGTGGGGCAGAGGACGGGACTGGGGAAATCCTGGCTTGTGGCTCCTACCCTGCTCTGGGTTCAGCTGCTAGTCCTGGCAGAGTTGGGGAGGACGGGACTTCCTCTTCCCCTGCACAGCCAGTATCCAGAGTCGGGTCACACCCACCTCCAGATTGTTTGTTTGTTTGTTTCCCAAGGCTCCAGGAAGCTCTGCAAACTTCCCCCGCACTTCCTGTGCCCAATGTTCCTCAGCTGCAGGGGGAGGGATCACTGTATGGGGAGCTGCTCCCCCATCTGCCCAACCCCCCGTGCATCAAGACCCTCCCACTGAGCCTCACCACCACCACCACCTGCACCTGGACCACCCTGACGAGCCACCTGGATCCCCACCCCACTGCACCTGGATTTCCACCCCACTGAGCCCCACTCCCCCAGCATCGGGACCCTACCACTGAGGGCCCCCCGACCTCCCCTGCTGAGCTACAACCATCTTCACCTAGACCCCCCTGCAGAGTCCCATTACCGTTGCACCTAGAACCTCCCAACAAATCCCTGTGCATCCAGATCCCCACACAGAACCCTCTCAACCCACACGTGGATTTCCCACCCCACCCCCGCACTAATCCCCTCCACACTTGGAGCCTGCCTGCCTGCCCGCACCTGGCACGAAGGGGAAGGGCCCTGGGGTGTTGCGCTGTGTCAGGGTTGGGTGCAGCCTCACACCACTGAGTTCGTGTCCCCAGGGGGGCGGGAAGCTGAACAGTGATCTCCCACCTCTGTGCAGCCAGTGGTCTGTGCCTAATGCCATGCTCGAGCTTCCATATTTATTTGACAATAACATTTCAAAGAATTTAAAAATATGAGCAGAATTTTTAATTTTTTTGGCACAGAATCCTCTCTGGAGTTAACTGCATCATACAAGGGTATGGAAAATCCTCGCCCCCAAGCAACAGAGGCAATATTTTGAACCCACTCCTGTAAAAAAAAGAGAAATCCTGGGAGAAATCAGGAGGGGGCATGCGACCCCACGTGTCCGTCCACCCCACACGCATCACCTCTGTCAAGCAACATAGTTATGCCGACCTGACCCTAGAATAGACAGTACTATGAATACAGGAGGGCTTCTCCTGTCAACATAGCTATCACTTCTTGGGGAGGTGGAGTACCTACGCTGATGGGAGAAGCTCTCCTGTCGGTGTAGGTAGCATTTTCACTAAGCACTACAGTGGCACACTAAGTGTAGACAAGACGCAGTTAATGGCCACCTGTGAAATGTCTGGATTACATGACTACTCCAGTTCCACATAGGAACTCTGTGGCAGAGGCAGGAAAAGAATCCAGTTCTCCAGAATGCTGTTCAGCTTCCCTAACCGGGACAGGAGATCATCCTTTCTCTTCATGAAATCCCCTGCTTCATTCACCACACACCCTCTAACTTCTGCTACAAACAAGGCCCGAGTCCTGTAGACAACAGTCTCATGCACTATACAACCCTGATTCATTCCGAGAGCAGAGCCATCCTGTGCACTGAATGGGGAAGGGACAGGGGTGGAAAACATAGCATGTGATCATGTAATTAAATATTGTATCATAACACATATGTACAGAAGGGCTGAATTAAGGTTACAGTCAACCTTCATCCTGGGATTTCCAAATTTCGGAGTGCTTGACTTCAAAGGCACCCTAATGTGCTTTTAATGTAGTATTTTTAATGTAATTTTCCTAATATTTAAAAAATGAGGAAAAATAATTCCATGATGAGGAAGCAATTTACCCCCACCTGGGTCATCAGCAAGGTTCAGACCTTTAGATCTGCAGCACAGAACTTTATCACTTGAGCTGTTATCCTCCCTGTGGGCCAGTCATTAGAGGGGGATGAGCCACACATTTTGCCAATGGGTTTCGCAGCGATCTTCTGACAGCAGGGGAATGTAGACATTTGGGAATCCTGGTTCGATTCCAGATTCTGTAGACTAGTGATTAGGTCCTTCTTCCCTGTAGCTTTAGCCCAGCTGCCATTGCCTGTCTCTAGCTCCCTTTCTCCCTTCTCCCCTTCCTCTTGATTCCTCATCCATCTGCATTCCAGTGTTTGCTTCGTCCTTCTCCATGCTGCCTGGGTGCCAGCAGGAGGATCACAGAGACGCAACATCCCTGCTATTCTGGTGTTCAGTGCCACAGCAACAGCTAGGAGAAGCAGTTGCTCAGAAAGTCCTGCTGAGCCCCTGCAGCCCTTGGGATGGAACATGCTCTGAGCAGATGGAATCGTCAGAGAATTTAGCTGCCAAACTCTAACAAGCCTCTACTGAGCTTCCACAAACAGCTTTTCAGGGGCTTATATTTTGGCCAAATTTGGGTGAATTTTCATGGGGATTGCAAAAGGCACACCCCATGGCACCGAAGTAACCCCTCCCTCCAGGCCAAATTTCAGGTCCCTGCTCCAAAGCACAAAAGGGCTAGAGCATCTCAACAGAACAGTTGCAAGAACATTTTTAACATGTGCAAAACACATTTTTCTGTAATCTCCTGCTTGGAAATGGCTGAATTTTTTTTAAACTCCTTCTCCCGCACCATAATCAGCCTGAAGCTGACCCAATTAAAGTATGGCAAAATTATAAACAGCAGAAAATAGGGTTTTATAATGAAGTAGTGTTGGGTAACCTTAATTTATGGGTGGCACTATCAGCGCCGCATATAAGTACACATTCCTAAACCATATAGCATGAGATTGGTCTGTTACAGCATTTGTTCTGCAGAGTGCATTATAACTAATTATTATTTTTTGCCTTTTTTTAGTATTTAAAGGATCCTGGAATGCCTGTTTTAGAAGAATTGCAGAATAATTGTGCTGAGGAAGATCCCTGGGACTCCTTGTCAGTTGTTTCCAATGCAGAAGGAAGTCAAGCACTAGTAAAGGACACTCTGAACACACATGTTCATTCAGACAGCAGATCTACTGAAAGTGGAAAGAACTTCATTACATTGCGGTAGAAGGACCTGTACCAGTGCCTTGATGCTATAGAAAGATGATAATGTCACTGTCGACAAACCAAGTTGTGGGAGTCTTGACTTCCTGAGAACATTGTGTATTCTTGAGTAGGGTTTTAATGGTTTCTACTGCAATTCACCATATGAAGTCCCTTCTCCACGAGAGACTTTTTAAAAATGGATTTGAATGTGAACTGGAAATGAACACTAAAAGAGCAGGGAAAGGACAACAACATGGTTGGAGTAAAATGGCTGCATCTGAACATCTTTGCAGAAAAGACTGCACTATTACTATGAACGGTGTTGATTATTAAGTTGATCTAGGTTCTAACGAATTTTAGTGGACCGTAGCACTTTATGGTAGGATATAGTACTAGAAAGAATTTTTCAGTGAGTTAGTAGATTACTGCACCATGAATGATTATTGATCTTTGCTCATCAGTACTTCTATATAAAGTCTGTCCCTTAGCACACAGTAAGTTAGTACTCAGAAAATGACTCAGACCAATTTTTCACATATATAAAATTTTAAGAGTGTGGTGCTCTATATCTGAAGGAAATAGCATGTTTTCAGGAATCCATTTTGTCCCCCCTCCCCCCTTATTTGTGTGTTTTTTAAAAAAAAAAATTTGTTCCAGTAAAAGATGAAAAATTTATATGAGCTGAGGAGAAACCAGCACATAATTCACTCCCAATTAAGGAACCATCATGGAAGGAGTGCTTACAGGGACAGACAGGTTGGATCACTTCTCCTCTGAGCCTTCTGATGCTTGCACAACAATGGCATTAATTTCTTCTACAACTGCAGTGTGGAGATGCTCTCTCTGTAGGGGGCGTCACATCCTTTACAGTGAAATGAACTCCTAAAGCTTGTATCAGACACTAAAATATAACAAGTTTGGCTACCTGGAGAGCCCTTCCAAAAGTCATTCAACAGAACTTGTCGGGTTTTGATGCACATGAACCAAAGCTTTCTGTGTAGTCAGAATACACGTGGGCAAGATGTGTCAAACATAGGGTTTACCCACAGCTAGTGGACACGAAGAACAAAGCCATGGTTCTCTCACCTGCTCAGGCAAGTTCTGACTGCTAGTGAAGACAAGACCCGGGATATGGAGTGTGGCTGTTTGGAGAATGAAGCATCCGAAAATTCTTTACACCACTTCATCGTATACGTGAAAATCTTGCTGTTAAAAATCCTACAACGTGTATTGGAATATTATTTGTATGGACATTTAATAAAAATAATTTAAATATGTAAAAAGTGTTTTAGGGTGTTTTGTTTCCCAATGGTTTTTTTCCTTCAAATTCCATGTGGTCATTTGCTGTTCCTTTAGGATCTAATCAGTGCCTAAATGAGGAAGAAAGGACTTCTTTCATATGACCGTTATGAAGAGCAGAGGTTTATGTGCAGGGATATGGTAAGTTAGCATTATAGAATGCCCTTTTAGTGCCTCTCTTCTTCATTTTCCAGGTTGACCCTTTATTCATATGAAAATAAGCTTCAGTTATGGTTCTAGACAGAATTTAAAAATAAGCACAGTGACATTCTGCTCTTGTCTGGGATGGGGAGAAGTGCTTGTGTGGCTCTAAACTTAAAATTCTGCTCACATTAAACAATATATATGATCAAATATGACTCATCACTTTCAAATTCAATGACTTCATAAAACATTTTCCATACATCCACCTCACATGTTTAACTTACTGCTTTAAACAAGATAATGTTTTTTTTCCAGTTCTGGTAATGTGGTCTACGTTAAAGTTGTTATCCTTCTGATTAAGGCTAAGATTTAGTTACAGGTATTTTTGGTAAAAGTTATGGTCAGGTCACAGGCAATAAATAAAAATTCACAGCCTGTGACCTGTCCATGACTTTTATCAAAAATACCCCTGACTAAATCTCTACTTCTAGGGCCCCGATTCTTGGGGGGGGGGGTCTACTGGGGGGAGGGGAGGGGCTGCTCCAGTGCTGGGGGTTGACTGCCCCCCAGCTGCCACTCTCCAAACACCCTCCAGGTGCCCCTGGGGCTGCTGCTCCAGCCACCCCAGGACTGCTGGCTTGGGCAGTCTCCAGGACCAGCTGCTGCTCACATGGTCCCTGTAGCCAGCTGACCCTGAGGTCAGCTGCTCAGGTGGCCTTGAAGTCAGCTGTACCAGCAGTCACGGAAAGTTATGGAATCTGTGACTTCTGCGGCCTTGTGAAAGAATCGCAGCCTTAGTCATGATCATTATTAATAGTTGATCATGTTAAGTTTCTTAATGAATTGGGTGGAGAGGAGCTCAGTTATTTTATTATTTATAAAACCATCCAGCTGTGGTGGTACTGGTAATTCAGTAGTTCATTACATTACTAAAAGGGAAATGTAAACAACCCTACACAATCCAAACATTTCACCTTAATACATTCAATTCTATGTAGGTTTTTAACCACACTCACCACTGTATTCTCTCAGCACCTACCAATAGTGCATTAAGCAATGTGACTACACATCCGTCACAGGCTGGTTGGTCTCTTATCCTCACCCCAGTTTCTTTGGGGGTGGGTCTCAGCAACCCACTGCTGTTAGTAACGGGGATCTTCCTGCCAGGGTCCCCCACCCTATCTTCAGTTGAGGGGGATGGGGCCTTTTCACCCCTATTGTGACTTGGAACCAGGTGTCCATCCACCCCCCTAGTTACATAAAGGGAGCCAGGATTCAGAGAGTGCTGAATAAGGTAAATGTGACAGAGAGGTAGGAAGTAGGGCAGGTTCAATAAGAGTGGGCAGCTGAGAATGAAGGGAATCAGAAAGGGACATTAAGGGAAGTAGAAGTGGAGGGGAAACTGGAAAAAGGATAATGTAGTGCCCATCTTTTAAAAAGGGAAGGAGGAGGATCCGGGGAACTACAAGCCAGTCAGCGTCATCTCAGTCCCTGGAAAAATCATGGAGCAGGTCCTCAAGGAATCAATTTTGAAGCACTTTGGGGAGAGGAAAGTGATCAGGAACAGCATGGATTCATGCCTGACTAACCTAATTGCTTTCTATGATGAGATAACTGGCTCTGTGGATGAGGGGAAAGCAGTGGACGTGTTATTCCTTGACTTTAGCAAAGCTTTTGACACTGTCTCCCACAGTATTCTTGCCAGCAAGTGAAAGAAGTATGGGCTGGATAAATGGATTATAAGGTGGATAGAAAGCTGGCTAGATCATCAGGCTCAAAAGGTAGCGATCAATGGCGCCATGTCTAGTTGGCACCTGGTATCAAGCGGAGTGCGCCAAGGGTCGGTCCTCGGGCCGGTTTTGTTCAGTATCCATTAATGATCTGGAGGATGGCATGGATGCACCCTCAGCAAGTTTGCAGATGACACTAAACTGGGAGGAGTGGTAGATACGCTGGAGGGGTAGGGATAGGATACAGAGGGCCCTAGACAAATTAGAGGTTTGGGCCAAAAGAAATCTGATGAGGTTCAACAAGGACAAGTGCAGGGTCCTGCACTTAGGACGGAAGAATCCCATGCACCGCTACAGACTAGGGACCAAGTGGCTAGGCAGCAGTTCTGCAGAAAAGGACCTAGGGGTTACAGTGGACAAGAAGCTGGATATGAGTCAACAGTGCGCCCTTGTTGCCAAGAAGGCTAACAGCATTTTGGGCTGTATAAGTAGGGGCATTGCCAGCAGATCGAGGGATGTGATCGTTCCCCTTTATTTGACATTGGTGAGGCCTCATCTGGAGTACTGTGTCCAGTTTTGGGCCCCACACTACAAGAAGGATGTGGAAAAATTGGAAAGAGTCCAGGGGAGGGCAACAAAAATGATTAGGGGTCTGGAACACATGACTTATGAGGAGCGTCTGAGGGAACTGGGATTGTTTAGTCTGCGGAAGAGAAGAATGAGGGGGGATTTGATAGCTGCTTTCAGCTACCTGAAAAAGGGTTCCAAAGAGGATGGATCTAGACTGTTCTCAGTGGTAGCAGATGACAGAACAAGGAGTAATGGTCTCAAGTTGCAGTGGGGGAGGTTTAGGTTGGATATTAGGAAACACTGTTTCACTAGTGGTGAAGCACTGGAATGGGTTACCTAGGGAGGTGGTGGAATCTCCATCCTTAGAGGTTTTTAAGGCCCAGCTTGACAAAGCCTTGGCTGGGATGATTTAGCTGGGGATTGGTCCTGCTTTGAGCAGAGGGTTGGACTCCTGAGGTCCCGTCCAACCCTGATATTCTATGATTCTATGTGCAGTAGTGTCTTGTTTTGATATGATGTTTTTGTTTTTAGAATATCTGTTATGTGCTTAAGAGAAGATTAACGCAAAGAAATGCACTTTGCATGTGAGCGGAAAGGTTTGTGATGATCCTTTGCAGGGAATTTATTCCAGGGTGTTGGACCAGCCTCTGAGAAAGTTCTGTCCCTCACACAGACAAGGTTTATTCTTTCTGTAGAGAGTTCTGTTGTGCTACAGGAGCAGAGTTGTCCAAGAACTTTGTCCCGGAGCTTTCAGTGGTCTTGTATATTGTGGGCGCAGACTATGAAGCACTTTGAGGATAAGGACTGAGATCTTGAACTTGCTTTGAAATTCTGTGGGAAGCCAGTGCAGAGGACAGGTGTAATGGAAGGAAAACATGATAATGTGAAGTTGAAACTGACTGACCAGCATAATGTAAGTTACATGCTTTTGTTAATGTTGTTTTAGTGATATGCGCAGAGTCTTTTGCAAACTCTTTGGTTCATTGCTCTGATTTCCTTATCTTTTCATCTCTAGCAGCAGTCTTGCTGAACCACTATTTGTATTACCAGGGTGCCCCGGAAGCACGAGTCATGGACCAGGACCCCATGGGGGTAGGGGCGGTACAAACACAGATGATTCCATCCCCAAAGAGCTTACAGTCTAAGTATTAAGACAAGAAATGGATACAGACAGCTGTCCAGTACCATCCCCATGCTACAGTGAACTTGGAGTATTAAGGAACAGCCAAGGTGTACACAAGTTTCCCTCTGATATTAATGAAGTACAGCCACCTGAGAGAGAGAGATGCTAAAATGATGTTAAATGTTAAACTAATGTCCAGTTTCTTGGGGGATTATGCCTGACAACTAGCTACTTAAAAGCATGGGGGCTGCTCAGCCAGGTTTTGGGTGGTAGAAGGGGTTGTCCAAGTGAAACCTGTTTTGCACCACCTCCTTACTGCCAAATGTTTCTGTAATTCTCAGCATTTACTCGTCAACCTGCCTAGCTTCCCCTGCAACCAGGAGAGGGGGGAAGGAGAAGAGCAGCTTAGATTGGTAAACTATAGAAAAGGCACATCAAAGTGTGACAGGTTAAATGAGGAAATGTACTGAAGCTAGACAACACTGCATTTCCACAGTGCCACACTTCATCCGAGAGCCTTGACACGTTTCACCCACAGGAACCTCCCGTCACCTCTGAAATAAGTTACTTCTCCAGTTGTTTTCTGAAGCTGCAGTAGAGCCGCACTCTGGAGTCTGTCTGATCAGTGGGCATGTACATGGGAGTAGATGGTATTAAGCTGCTGGTCTTCTCTCAAGTGAAGGGTAGATGGGTATCTATTCCCATTCTAGGGCCTTGGCTACACCATTTTTATAATATGGTTGACCTGTTTTGACTATAGATTCTATCAAGCTGTGGACTACCTACTTTAGGTCAGCCCTGGGGGTGGGCACATGCAGTTTTTTGTAGTACTTTGTATATGTTTAGAAGCTGGCAGTTAAAGCAGTACTGTCCCCTCCTCTGGGCACAATTTTATCAATATGTGTTTATAGCAGTATAGCTTATTTCTGTTACTGGTATAAAGGCATCTTATAGTGATAGAATTGTGTCCACAGGAGGGGGTTGTACTACCTTAACTGTCAGTTTCTAAGCATATACCAAGTGTTACAGAAACGGGGGATAGGTCAGCCCTGGAGGCAAGGTAATGCTACCAGTTTTGACTGGTGTATCCTGCACTGTCTTTAGAAACAATTTTCCAAGGGGAACAGTGAGAGCAAAAACATTATATGGCTTCAAGACTGAACTTGGTAAGTTTATGGAGGGGACGGTATGAGGAGACTGCCTACAATGGCATGTAGCTGATCTCCAACAGCCAGTGATGGGACACTAGATGGGAAGGGCTCTGAGTTACTATAGTGAATTCTTTCCCAGGTGTCTGGCTGGTGGGTCTTGCCCACGTGCTCAGGGTTTAACTGATCACCATATTTGGGGTCAGGAAGGAATTTTCCCTTGGCTCAGAGAGACTCGGGGTGTTTTCACCTTCTGCAGCATGGGGCAG